AGCTATTAGGCCTTTTTGTGGGGTGAGATGGGAAGAGGAAGGGACATCTATGCTGATTGTGTGATTTTTTTTAGGAAGTTAATTGGCAGGGGAAAAAATGTTTGCCAAGACTCCCCATGCCTCCTGCTTGATTCTTTGGGCTGCACATTTGGGAAGAGGTTTTAGCTGTGGGTTTTGAGCCTGGACTGGGTCTACATGGACAGACTCATTATCTTCAGTAGGAGTCTGCACCCATGCTGGGGTCTAGCCCTGCGAAGTGACTGCACAGTGGGTGCTCAGTAAGTTTAACTCATTACTGATCCTTGTCGCCTCATAAGCAGTGCAGCTGGAAAGCAAGTTAAAATTTCCCCATTGCTCTCTCCTTTATTTCAGATTCACTAAGATGAAGACAGCTACCAACATTTACATCTTCAACCTCGCCTTGGCAGACACCCTGTGCCTGATGACCTTGCCTTTCCAAGGGACTGACACGTTCCTAGGGTTCTGGCCCTTTGGAAATGTTCTCTGCAAGATCGCCATCTCCATTGACTACTACAACATGTTCACCAGCACCTTCACCCTGACCATGATGAGCGTGGACCGGTACATTGCTATCTGCCACCCTGTCAAGGCTCTGGATATCCGCACGGCCCACAAGGCCAAAGTGGTCAATGTCTGCATCTGGGCTCTGGCCTCAGTCTTTGGCATCCCAGCGATGGTGATGGGATCAGCGGAGAACGATGATGGCGGTTAGTAGAAATGGGTGAACAGGTGATATCCTGCACAGGAGACTGCATCCCTAGGATGTAACCATGGTAGCTTGTTAAGTCCATGAGCATAACATCCCCTTCCCTCAGGGCCTTGTAAATAGTTTTTCAGGTCCAGTTTTCATTCCCACTGTACAACATTTTGTTTCTGGAGATAAAGTACTGGTAGTCACTCCAATAGTTGGTGGTAGTAGTAGTAGTAGTGGGCACTTACCTTCTGGTGGACTGGAGAAAGTTGGGAACATATCTCTCTGATACACCCTTACACACTGTCAGCCTCTTATGTCTTCTCCCTACCCCTGTCTAATACCTCAGTCTTCAGTGATAGGATGAAAAGAAAACCCTGAAACAATCGAACCCACTGAGCACTGCTGCGCACTATGGGGAAAGAAAAATCTTTTCTTCTTCTCCAGCAATATGCAGCTTAGTCTCAATTCTCACATTTGATTAGCTGAATTTCAGCTAGCTTGTGTTGATGTGCTGTACTTCTCTCTGGATGAGAGGGTCCTCATAATCTCTCTGCATGAGAGGGTCCTTGTGTGTTTATACAGTAGCCTCCTATTCTTGGTGAAAGTATTAAGCGTTCGCTCTGCCTCCTCATTGACAACTCAGCTCCTATATCTGTACCAGTGCAAAGTATGGTTATCTCAAAGCAGATCTGGGAAAGTCATGCCTTTATCTCTGTCTTCCTACCTGCTTTCCTTAGCCTATTTCTGTCTCTTCCTGCCTCCCTATGGGAGTACCCTCTCTCTGCCCCCCCACCCCTCATGCTTTACACCAGGTTTCCAGTTGAAGAGAGCTGGCTGGATGCGGATCTCTTCCAGGGGCCATCAGCATTGCTAGTCAGCTCTACAGGTTTGCAGCTTGATGGCCTTTCAATGCTGCATCCAAATCCCAGCAGTTCCCACTTCCACACTGTTCAAAGCAAATGCTGCACTGAAGAGGCTAATCCTCTTCTTGGCACCACGAGAGTGTTTTTTAAATATGCAATTTGAACAAAAAGATCCATAACCTCCATGCACCTCTCCCCTCTTCTGGTTCCAAGGAAGTTGAGTGCACTGAAAAGAGCATTATCGTTAGTGCGTCCTTCCTACTTGCCTCCAGGCCTCAAGGGACCAATACGCTTTCTTGACTGCTTGCCAAGCTTGAAATGAGATGGGGTAATCTTGGTCTTCCATAGTTTTAACTTTACCTTTTAATACCAGTCTTGACATGTAACTCGAGTTACCCTTGCAGTTTTTGGAAGGAGGAGGACGGGAAAGAGGACGCGGCATGGTGCCATAAAGCACAAGTCAGATTTTATTACCTAACCGTGGCACGTCCCATCAATGTAAATGTCTAAAATTATTTCTGAGGGTTTGTCCTAACTGGTGGCCACAGAGAATGCCAAACCTTACGGCAAAATGCCTAGAGCAAAGAGGAGCTGTGGGTCGTCTTGGAGCATTTGGGGTTTGAGTCCTTTAAGGCTGTTGCATTGGTGGGGGATCAGATAGCAGCAGCTGGATCACCTGACTTTCTGCATTTGTGTCCAGCATAACATGGGGAAATTTAGCCCCAAATGCTTTCATCCCTTTGCTAGTGGGTAGCACTCTGCAATTACATCTATGCATTGGGAATATTGGCATTTCCAGCTGAAAGAAAACGTCAGTGGCACAGGTGAGCAGTGGAGGAGAGAAGGAATGAATGCATCCTGTTGAGTCTTGAGCGACTCACTTATTCGCTCCACATCCAGCTGCCCTGGGAAAACAACATGGTTCATGGATACAGCACCGGCTTTGGGCATAAGAAATCTGTCGTAACTCTGATTATAGGCTGTGACCTTGGGCATGCCACTTTGCCTTTAGCTTTCCACGCTCTGTACAATTTGTACATGCTTCGTGGCAGAGACTGACTTGTACAGTGGATTTGTCCAGCTTTTAGCACAATGGGCCCTAACCTCTGTTAGGCAGTCATAAGCATGAATGAAATGGGCAATACAAGGGGCAGAAAGCAAATCACTGCACAGACAGATGTCGCACGCGTGTGCATCCCCCAAGCACATTATTTTATTGTTCTTCTCTCCATTCTTTGCAGAGATAGATTGTCTCATCAAGCTCCCTTCCCCTGTGGGCTACTGGGATCCAGTCTTTGGGGTCTGCATCTTTCTCTTCTCCTTCATGATCCCCGTGTTGATCATAACCATTTGCTACAGCCTCATGATCCGGCGCCTGAAGAACGTCCGAGTCCTCTCGGGCTCCAAAGAGAAGGATCGCAACCTGCGCCGCATCACTCGCATGGTTCTGGTGGTGGTAGCCGTCTTCATTATCTGCTGGACGCCCATTCAGATCTTTGTGCTGGTCCAGTGCCTGGGTGCTAAGGCTGAAAGCGAGCTGGAATTGGCCATCTCCTGCTTCTGCACAGCCCTGGGCTACGCCAACAGCAGCTTGAACCCCGTTCTCTATGCCTTCTTGGATGAGAACTTCAAGAAGTGCTTCAAGAAGTTCTGCTTCCCCACCGCCTTCAGGACAGAGCTCCAGATGTCCAACAGGATGTGCAGCATTGCCAAGGATGTGGCTTATGCCTGCAAGAACTCAGAGGGGACTAACAATCCGGCCTGACTAGGCCAGGAAATCCCGATGATGGCTGCCAGTCAGAAAAGTCCAACCACCCCCACTTCAGAGATAACTCAGATAACAGCCCTTTGACAGTGGCTTTCCTACCCAGAGTTGCAGACTGGAAACCTAGGAGGCAGCATGGGGGGAGGGAATATACAGGACTGCAAAAGCATACAGAAAAGGAAGTCGTTCTGACGCATTTTTAACGAAACCAGCCTCTCCATTTAAAGACTGTGTTTTCACTTGACTCTATGATTCCTAAAGGACGCCAACGTGGTGTGTTGTGCATAGGGGTGGTAAAGCATTCAAGAAGTAGAGGGTTGAAATCCCAGGGCTTATTTTGCCATTGCTCTCGGGGATGCAGACAGAATGCAAATCACTTTTGCTTGACTGGATTCGATGGATCATCAAATCGGGTGGATTGCAGACTGAGAATTTTATTGCTACTGCAGCACTCTGAATTTCAGACTTCATTGAAGCCAAAGCAAGGAACGGCAGCAAAATGCAACACAAAGATAATTTCCAGAATTATTCATTGGCTGCAAAGGAAAAAAAAGAAACAGTCAAACACTCCAGCCAGCAGACAGAGAAGAGCTGGCTGCTCCACTGCATGGCTGGAAGTGTTGGATCAAGACTGCTTAACAAGAAAAGCATAAATGTCGGTGAATGACTGTATAGAATAAAACCATGTGCCTCAGAGGTGGAAAGGCAGGGATAGTAAAAAGTGACCGACACCAGCTGTTATGGGGTGAAAGGGAAGATAAATGAAGACTCATGTGAACAAGCTGGTGTTGGTTTTTTTCCTATGTTTTCAGCTTAAGGAGGTCTGGTTGTGCGTGTGTGTGTGTGTGTGTGCATGCATGCATAGGCACACAGAGACACATCTATAAGGTACAGCTACAGATACATCACTAGGGCATCACCTTAGCAAACAGAGATCTCTCCCAGCAGAGGTGAGAGGAGAGGGGAATGAATGATGGGGCTTAATCTGGAAAGACGAGGGTCTTTGAGTAAATGTGATATCTTAATTTGGCAGGCAAGGTTCTTTGAGTAGATGTGATATATTTTATTAGACCAACTGAGTAGTTGGAAAAAAGCTCAAAAACCCAGCATATCTTAATCTGGAAAGACATTTGGGGTTAGGGCCATGTTATGCAAGGTCCTTCAAGAAACACTTGTTTTCACGGCAGGACATCTAATGCTCCAAGCCACCCTGCTATTCTTGTGTCGTAGGGACAGACAGAAAGCTGAGGGGAAGAGACTCTTTCACCTGAAGTGCTTGGGGGAGATGGTTCCTAGGTTAATGGACACCTCTCCAGTTGCACATTGATTTTTCTGACAGCAGGCTTGCAACCACAAGCCAAATCGTCCGCTCTGTTGGGTCAATTGGAGAGGAAAGCAAAGAGCGCGACCCTTCCGCGGTGCCTGTGAAACTAGAATTTCTTCCCTTTCCATAGCACAAGAGTCCGGGAGGAGATTGGCAATGGTGGCTAAGGAACTACCCGCCCGCGCTGCGAGGAGCGGAGCTCATGTCAGACTCTTAGGAGCGGCCTTTCCTGCTCTCTCCGCAGCTTGTACAGATTTCATGTGAATTTCCCGTGCTCTGTTCAATGAAACGATGCATTTCCTATGCGTTGATCTGCTGCCATTTTAATGCCGTATTGTTCTTTATATACCTTGTATGACAACACAATGTTGTATTTCCATGTTGCTTGTTTTCGCCTTAGGGTCAGGCTTGAAACACAAATGAAATGCCTGGGTCCCCCAGGTAGAAACCGGACCTTTGTAAACTATGCTACACGGGGCTAGAAGGAATCCTGCCCTTAACAGAAGCAAAACTTTTGCAATTGCAAACTTTTGCATTTAAGATTTTCTTTAAAAGAACTGGGTGGGGGTGGGGGGGAGGCACAGCAAGCACTTTGCATTGGAGAGTAATCACCAAACAATCACACTGGTCATGGGGACATGCAACGATCATCCTGAATAAAACACCAAGCATGCTGAGAAGGAACACCTACGACCCCTTATCTTGAAGGCACTGCTGGCTATCTGCACCGTGCCTTTTGAAGATAGAAATATATTTGGGCAGGGGGTTACCTGTACATAACACCACTCTTATTCAAGGAGAAATCTTGGTTTTCCAAGCCATCAAGTTGCTCCCTCATCTGACAGTTTTTAAACGTTTGCACCCAAAATGTGACGGGGTTGACACGGCTGCAGGTTCTGTTTCCGAAATGTTGATGAGGGAGGGGAGACTCAAGTGATGGTGGAATAAAGAGCATCCACGTTCCTTTTCTAGTGAGATCTTTCAATATTTTATGTCCTTTAAAAAGAGAGAGAAAAAAAGAAAAGACCTGTGATTTCTTCAGTCGTTCAGAAGATGCAAACTAGAAAGAATGGTATTTTTTTAATAATGTGATTTTTGTTAAACTATGCTGCAGCAATCCTACAGAAGCAAATTACTCGATACGTGTCTCTTTACTCTGCTTTTGGATCATTCGTGGCATTTTGCAGTGAACGTGTTAGATATTCTGATGTGTGCTCAGTGGAACTTGTTGTAAGAAGAGCAACAATGACGACAGCAACGACAACAAAAGCTTTATCATCTGGTGCCTCTGGAATGAAAGGGCCATGATTGGCTGGCTGGCTGAAATGCAAAAGCTCTTGTATTATCTTTGGAAATGGTTGTAACGAGATGATTGAGCTTCTGGCGATGGCAGTGTAAATGACTATGTTTCTAGGTGGCTACTTGTGCTTTAATAAAGGGAAATAAACTCCTGCACTTTCAATGATGGTGAATGGCTTAATTGTGTGAATGGATTGCAATACTTGACCATTAGTAGGGAGGTTTATTGGCTGGGGCACAGCTGGTGCTGCACAGAGGGCGCATCAACACAAGATGCTACAAGTGGAGTAGACAAATTCTACTGCGCATTAGTGTATCACAACAAAAGGCGTGCTAATGCGCAGTAGGATTAGCCTACTGTGCACGAACATCACGTAAAAGACAGCCACCAGCGCGACCGCGCAGTAGTGCTGATTATGGCACATTAAGTTAGTACCTGTTCCTGCTGTACTTAAACTGTAATAACAGATACTAACTTAATACACCATAATTCGCACTACTGTGCAGTAGTGCTGGTGCACATCTTGTAGGTGACGTTAATGCACAGTAGACTGATTACGGTGCATTAGTGCATGTGTAGACATGCCTACAGTCAGCTATGTTGACAGCCATCAGCCCTGTCCCATTGAAGTCAATGGGAACTAGACCCAGGTAAAATAAAAATGATAAAACATAGGCAGCTCTGTGCTAGCACCCCAAGTTCAACTGTCTGTCTCTGAAGCTGATCAGCAAGGGGGGCTACGCCATTACTTGCTGGAGCCATAAGAGAGGCCTGGGTGGTGCGGGTGCATGATCAGACCCATACTAGATGCTTCTTGCGTCTGGGGAAACAGCTTACAGCTGCTGATCTGTCATTCGAGACAAAGGCAGACGATAAAGATGAAATAAGACAAACCCATCTGCAGACGTGTGGTCATACCCAATTCTTTTTGGCTGCTACAGCGTTAAGCCTTGCCCTGTTGTCACAGCCTGGGCTGCAGGAAGGAATGGTAATGTTTTCAGAGATGGACCCTTCCGCGAGATGTGTAATAAAGAAAAATGACTGCTGTCTGCACACTGATCGATACTCTTTCTGACTCGAGTGGATGCCAGGATGATTGTTTCTTCTTCTTCTTTATTTTTATTTTTTTTAAGAAAAAATGAAAACCACAAGAAAACTGAAGCTTTTACTTTCTTGATCATTTGTATACCTTTAAGCATCAGATGTCTGATCTCATGGCATTTCTATAAAGCTAAATGCATTGCCCTGTACGGCATTTTCTCATTAACAGCCCGAAACGTTTTCCCTACCGGTGCTAGCACAAATCATCCCCACTGCTACCTGCCTGTCTGAATAGAAAGCAGCAACGGACTCGGAGCTCAAATTCTTATTCCTAAAACATCTGCCTTGTTGGTCAAGGTACAATTTTCTGCAGAAAACTTTCCCTTCTGTTCACATAACAGCTTTGTTTTAGATTGTGTTTCTCTCCCCAACACTGGCTGGCAGCCAGCTTTCACTAGCAATAGAGTTGCAATAAAAAAAAAAAGCAGAAATAAGGTAGTTTTTTTTTTAACAGCAGCTATAATTGAAACATGCTGCCTAAGGATGTGGCATGTAATAAATTCTCCACTGCTGGAAGATGCTACATCTTTTACAGAGATATGCCATGGTTTAAAAAGAAGGTAATGGCTTCATGGAGAAAGCTGGATGTGGTTCTGGCTGAATTACATGGTAGACAGAGACAAAATGAATATAAGGGGCACTTTGGGTATTAAAATTTATGAAAGAAGTACCAACTTCACTGAATCCTCAGTGTGCCGGTGGACTAAAATCCAATGTAAATTTACAGGAATGGTTCCTGAAATAAATCCAAGAGTGAAAACCTACAGCTGTAGCCATTCTGTGGATGAAGGCTTATTATTTCTAAGTTCCCGGAAGATGTCCTCACTTTCAGGTGGTGAGAAGGCAGGAGCCCTGTAAACATTTTCCTTTTCATGAAGCAATCAGCTTGTTAGTGGGTGCATCTACACGTTCATTAATGTGCAATAGTTAGTGCACATTTAATTTAGTACTTTAATTTACTTTAATTTAGTACTAATGATGTGCTAAATGTGCAGTAATTCACACTACCACACAGTAGCATTGGCGCACAGGGTATTTTTGTGATGCTTCCTGCACAGTAGCCTAACACTACAGTGCAGTAGTGTACAGTTGTGCACAGTTTTTGCCCAGCACGCTATTGCACAGTGTTATTAAGCTACTGTGCTTTCAGTGTCTTGTGTAGACGTGCCCGGGGTCTCTGTTTTCCAGATGGATATTTCATTACATTTCCAAAATGGTTGTACTTCCCCATCTTCATTGCTCACTCTGGCATGTTATGGCCAGACATGATAATACACACATAAAAAAACCTATCATCTTCTCTTCTCGTGCTGCCGCCCAGCCACATGAATAAGGTGAATGATGATGATGATGATGACTGCAATGTTCTGTTTATTTAAATGAACTGGGGCTGCACCAGAAGGAAGTTGCAATCCTTTTTACTTCATAAGAGAAAAGGGGGATGGATTGTAGCAATCCCATTCCTTTTCTGCATTTCCTCTGCTTAGGTTTAAATAGCATCTTCCTACAATGACAAGCTTTTCCCTTCTTGCTGGATTCCACACCGAAACCCTAATTGTATATTCATGACTTCACGCTGCGTTGCTATGCGCACGTTTGTGATTGCCCAGATTCACCATTATGACTTTGCAGAAATCAGCAGAGCGCCACGCTGTACACCTAAAAGCATCCTCGCTTATGGGATGTTAATTCACGGTTTCAAGGCACATCCTCCAAACCGTCGTTAGGTGCTGCCTGAGGGACCATCCCTGCTCTTTTGCACAGGTGCTATGCTCAGTGTAGCTGAGATATGAAGTTGATGAGACGGGTACAGGATTTTTCTGGATTATAGGTGGTTCAGAGGGGAAGGTTTTCATCCTGACAAATGACAGGAGGCAGGGGCTAGACAGAGGAGGCAAGGAGAAGACTAGGGAGAAATCAAGGTCTGTGAGATCCCCTGGAAGGTGTCTGCAGAGGGCTTTTACAGCAGGCAATTCTGGATAGGTCCCTGATGTGAACAGAGAGCCAGGGATGGTGTGTGAAGACAGGGGCAGGGGGGATACGGCCACAATTCTTGCCTCTGCCTGAAGTCTCACGTACAGACTGCTGATGCTGAAGTGTGCAGCAAAGCAGCTTTTAAAAACAGTGGAGAAGGGCATTCAAATGTGAAAGGACATGAAGGCCTAGACTCCAGGGACAGAGGGCTGCGGAGATTTGAGGCTGGAGCACAAACAGGCAATAACGGGAGGATGTACAAATAGACTAGGAGTCCTGATAACACAGAAGGAGAGGAGGTGGACTGCCAGAGACTAAACCCATACTCCAAACCAAATATTTTTAAACATTGGGAAGGAAGACGTGCCAACAATGTGCAGTGTGTATTTACGCTGTTAAACTAAATTCCAGGGTTTCCCTTCCTGTGAAAATTGCTAGTCAAATCACAGCTAAAGGGACAGGACTTGCATGTGCTTCACTGCACAATAAAAATGCACATGTGTGCGTGCTCCTGATTTGTACTCCGGCCTGCTGGGACTGCCTACGCGGTAGTAGGCAGAGTGGGCAAATGACCAGTGATGTAACCGTCTTGCTCCTTGCACACAGATTTGCAGGAACTAGAAATGCATACTGGGTGTGCCGAAGGACTTCCAGCAGTGTGCAGGCAATTCTGGAGCTGGAGAAAGCAATCATACATATGACCAGCCCTGTAGCTACCTTATTTTTCTGGTTCCTGTGACCTGGCTGGATTAGTTCAAGTGCATTATGCCATGCATAACACAATAAATGCAACGTGCGTTACAAGATGTGGCAAAGATGATAGCTAAAAATCACCCATATCATCCCATTCTGACTCTATCACCCAAACAGACTGGATCCTGGATACCTGCATGGTGCTCTACAGCAGCAAAAGACTGCAGGCGATAGCCTTTGCAATGACTCTTCTAGTGAGCAATTGCTTCCCCTTGATAGGTTTCAGCACCAAGGAAACTCAGATTTAGAAGGTGCATTTGTAGTATCCAGAGCAAACAGAGATCATCTTCACCCTGTTATATCCTGGTGCTTGGTTATTACTTCTTAATATATGTATGATGCCAGGAGAGAAAGCAGCTTTTGCTTTATTGTTCACCTCTCCCTTTCTCACCCACCCACTCGCACCTTCCAGCAGACACCAGTGCTTTGAGGCTTGCATTACTGCTCAGGTTCATTCCAGTTTCCAAGTCATACGCAGGGTGGGAATTAACCCCTGATGAAAAAAAGCCTTTTCTAGGTTTCACCCTCTCAGTCTATTTTAAAAAATGACCATGGAGGGCATCTGCAGAGATAAACATACAGTGTGATGACTACTACACTGTCTTCCCATCCTTGGTGCCTTGAAAGTGTAGGAAGATTTTAGATGCTTTTATTCTTTTTAATGTGCCTTGGGGAAAAGAAATGTCTCCACCTGAAAGGGAGGCACAGACCCCTCTCAATGGCTCTTACAAATCCTGCCCGTCATGGGGAGCAAAGCTTTAAGGGGTCTTGGCCAGAGGTGACCAAAGCCTTTTTCCCTGGAGCCCAGGGATATTCCTGCTGCAGGGTTGGCCAGACACTCACACCTCCAGTGTATGGGAGGGAAATCGGTGTGTAAATCTGTGCAGATGTGATATCTTTTATTAGAGCAACTAATTAGTTGGGAAAATTGTTCTTTGCTTTCAAGCACAAATGACCTTCTTCAGGCACAGAGAGGGTCTGCCTGAAGAAGGGCGTTTGTGCCTAAGAGCTTGCAAAGAACAATTTTTCCGTCTAGTGAGTTGGTCTCAAAGAAGAGATCACATCTACCCCAAGAACCTTGTCTGCCTACATCCTGAGACCGACACGGCTACAACCAGCAACCTTAAATCTGTGTAGTCACTGCCTGGCTGGTGCAATCCTGTCTCCTGCCTGCCCTAGTTGTTCAGCTTCACAAAGTACGGGAGCTGCGGTGCTCACTGCATGAAACAGTATCACAGCCCTCACTGGCCGTGGAAGAAAGATCAGCGTCTGCCTTGTAAAGAACCTTGCTAGAGAGGCACAGACAGGCAGACGTGGTACCCTATTGCCAAGGG